GGCCTTTCTCTGAACCCAAGTTTCACAGATTGCAGCTATACTGTCTAGCCAGCTTGGATCCTCTATCTGCTGGGGTTATAACAGCAGTCACACCTTCCAGGCTTTTACCTGTGCTCTGGGGACCCTGAACTTTCCCAGCAAGTTCTTTATCCACAGGGCCAGATTTCTCCTGTACCACTTTAACAAAGAACACTCGTGAGTGTGTCAGCCACCTCCTCCTTGTTTTGACTCTTTAGACTGAGCTCTTTTGTATCTTGTCACATAAATTAAAAGGACTAATGCTGCTTAAAGACATAGTGGGAGTGAGCCCTGCAGTTCTCTAGGTTGAGGTCCCTTTAAGCCTGCTGCTATTGGTCACATTGGCCTCTGTCCTCCACGAACCCTCTCAGTTTGGAAGAGCAGAACAGGTTGTGAAATATCTGACATAATAGGCCTGCAGTCTGACTTTGGCAGCTCTAAGGTTCGATATGACACTTGACCAAGTCAGGCCAGAGCTGGGTTTACTCACTCAGAACTTTTGTTGTGAGGCAGCGGAACCAGGTGAGCATCCGAACTGTCCCAGGTTGCACAAGTGTGCCCTGTGACCTGGCTGAAGCATTTGGTGGTTTGGTTTGAGGATGTCAGCCATGGATTCAGCAACAGTGTGGTATTGTAACTTTCTCTTGTCATTTTAATTTTTAATAAAAAAGGGGAATTTGCTTTTTCTACTGACTTTCCTTGCACCATCTGAGACTTCCCAGGCTGCAGACTTGGGGATCAGACCAACCCAGCTCCAGCCTTTTAAGAAGAGGCAGAAGGATCACAGGTTTGAGGCCAGGCTGACTACGTAGCAAGCACTCCCTGGCCCCTACAAAACAACAGCAACAATGATTAAAAAACAACAACAAAAACAAAACAAAACAAAAAACTAGGAATCTGAAAGCCTGGGAGTAAATACTTTAGCAGCTGAGACATGTGGCCACATGATGTTTGTGGTTGGTCTAAGCACATACCTGTAGACTTGACAAATGGCCTAGGTTTTCAAAAAGCTACTTTGTGGGTTGTATCACCATTAAACCGAAGCTACTCCCCAGTTTACAGTGGGGTTTGGTCCCAGTACATCCACCCTATGCTGAAAATATCCTAAGTGGAAAACACATTGACTACAGCTCACCAGCAGGCCGCTGTAGTGCAGCAGTGTGGTCTATACCCGGTGTCTGTTGTTTCTCCTAACAATCTTTGGAAATATCCAAAATCAAAATTGGAACTACTGTTTCTACTGAAAGTGTGTAACTTTCACATCGTCATGATCTAGAAGAACCAAGAGCTGAACCATCTTCTATGTCAGAGACCATCTGTTTAAAGACTGGGAGCCACCTGTCCCTGTCCCTGTCCCTGTCCCTGTCCCAGAGAGGATGCCTGAGGGAAATGTCTTATGTCCCACCAGCTCTGCCAGAGGACAGATGTACAGTGGAAGTCAGACTGTGCCCTCTAGAGTATCCCCAGATCCCCATGATGGCTGAGCGAGGTGCTTCCTGCCTCTGCTCCTAAGGTCTTTCCCTGGTTTCTGGGGAGCAGCCTGTAGACCCTGCTCATCCCCATTTGCTCCGCAGGTCCCTCCTTCTGCTTCTGCTTATCAGAGTTGCTCAAAGCTTAGACCAGACTTCCTGAGCTGTAGATGTAGGGTAGTATGAAGCCCTTGACTCACTTTTAGTTGACTTCAAAAAGCACAACATTTGGAGGGCCAGGTATCTAAGCAACATACCAGTCTCCCACCGGCTTTGCTGTAGATAACACCCCTGATGTGTGGGTCCTGATGATAATGGTTGCCTAGGGTTATTTTTCAGGAGATAGAAAGTTGTCTCACTCTTGTTACGTGTGCTCGTTTGATGGACCATTTCTTGATATCACAGGACCAAAGTCAGCATTGTCGGATCAGGCTGATACCTCATTTTCTGAACATGTATGTGTTCTGTGAGGATCAGCAGTGTATTGCATCATCTCCAGACACCTTTCCTCAAATCTTAAATCACTCTGTATATCCATTACTACGCTCCATCCTGTCCTTTGCGATGTGGATTTGAGACCCAGCCAAACTATGAATACACTCTATTTTGCAAAACTCATCATTTTAGTGACCAACATCCTGCACCAGGGCAGAATCCTGGTTCTGTAGCAGGTACATTTTTGTCCCTAGTGGCTGGTATGGACCTCCTAGGATTCAGCTCTAAGTGAAGGGGAATTGGTCATTGATTACGCATTTGTTATTTTGTTATAATCAAATATATGTAGTATTTTTATATTATAAAAAGCTCCTTTTGGTAATACCTGAGTGGCTAACAAGGCTACTTAAACTGGGAGCCCTAGTGTCTTAGTTAGGGTTTTACTGCTGTGAACAGACACCATGACCAAGCAACTCTTATAACATTTAATTGGGGCTGGTATACAAGTTCAGAGGTTCAGTCCATTATCATCAAGGTGAGAACATGGCAGTGTGCAGGCAGGCATGGTGCAGGAGGAGCTGAGAGTTCTACATCTTCATCTGAAGGCCACTAGGAGAAGACTGGCTCCCACATGGTTAGAAGGAGGGTCTCATTTCCCACCCCCACAGTGACATACTTCTTCCACAAGGCCACACCCACTCCAACAAGGCCAAACCTCCTAATCGTGCCACTCCCTGGGCCAAGTTTATTCAAACCACCACACCTAGGCAGCCAGACTAGCTGGCTACCAGAAAGAACCAGTGAATGGAAGCCAACTTCCTTTCACAGGGGAGTGAGGCTGGAGCCTGAGTTCTAAACCGTGCACAAGGATCGTGGCACATTCCACCTTTTGCATGGACTCTGCCTTGTGCCTCTTCTGTTTGTCTCTTCCTAGTTGTGTCGTACACAATAAGCCAACCATTATTCAGGAGTTTCTTGAATTCTGTAAGTCATTCTAATGAATTACCAACTGCCACACCCCACCAGAACATCTGCATTTTTCAGTTGACCAAATAGTGTGGGTAGCCTGAACATCTTATTTGCATATTTGCATCTGGTTTAGGGTGAGTTTTTCAGCCTTTAACTTGTGGCTCTGATGCCAGCCTCAGGTAGAACAGTGTCAGAGTGGAACTGTTGGATATTCACCTGGGAATCAAAACACTGGCATTTGACAAGGCACTGTTTGGTGTGAGAATCTGTCCAAGTGAGGGGACAAGTCACTCCAACCTCAAAATCTCTTTGAAGTTCCTAGTCCATTTTTAAACTAGTCTTCAGGGCAGAGGTGGTGTAAACCTTTAATCTCAGTGCTTGGGAGGCAGAGGCAAGCAGATCTGTGGGAGTTTGGGGCCAGCCTGGTCTACAGAGTGAATTCTAAGATAGCCAGCCCTATACAAGAGAAACCCTATCTTGAAAAAACAAACAAACAAACGAGTTTGTGAACATTGTACTTAGTGCCTCAATATATCAATATTTATTTACATATTTTAAAAAGTGTCCTGTGCTGTAGACTTTGAGGATGCTGGAAGTGGTGGATCTGGATCTTCTCGTGAGCCCCAGGCCCAAGTTAGTATGTAGTTATGGAGTTCTGTACTGGACACTAAATGATTAGGAAGTCCCAGCCAAGGGACCATGGGACTTGTTTCTCAAAATACCTCTCTAGCTCAGGGTCTTTGGCCATAAAAATAATTTCCCAAGTTCCTGGGTCAAACTTGACCTTAGCCCAGCTCTGGGCCCTGAACAGACTTTCCCAGCCATTGAGTGCTACGTAGGGAGTAGGAGTGTTGGGGCTTTATGCGTATAAGATCACATGGGAGGGGCCCTCAGCCTTGGGGAGGGATTGGCAACCTGTGAGTCCTCAATAGCTACTAAAAATTAGTAGCTATTGAGGACTCGTGCTCAGGGATTAAACCTCAGTTTAAAAGCCTGGGTAAGATAGCTTTGCTTTTTGTTTCTTGATTTGTGGATCAGAGTTTCTAGAACACTCAAGTTTTTATTTAAGTAAGTATACACACAGCCACGGCCAGGCAGTTAGTCATTCCTAAATGGTGGTTCCCAGAGCCTGTCCTCAGCATCTCCCTGTTAGAAATCCTTTCGGAGCTGCCTAGGACACCCTGAATCAGATATGGGGTTGGGGGAGATGAGAGGTGGGCGTGGCGTTTGGTGATGAAGTTATCAGTTGAAGCCTGATCAGGGCAAAATTAGCCCGAAGGCAAAGGCACAATGCAACGCCTTAGGAAGTGTCCAGTGCCAGGATATAGTGAGATGTTCTATCTTCTAGCAATTGGGTTTTGACACGCAAACCCCACAAGGCCTGAGACTTAGACGGTCTGGAGGAGACTCCACAGTCGCAGGCCAGGGCAAGAGGGATGCCTTGAAGTTTGAGGGAAGGCGCCTAGCCATGAAAGGAAGTGCCAGCCCTCTTCTTTGCGGGCGGGTCAAGGCGGGGAGGACTTTGACGTGCTCTACAGCAAGGCGCGAATGGCCTCTGGCTGCTCGGGTCTGGCTGCTTGTTAGCTCCCTGTGGGTCCCTGCTCTGTCCCCGGCTCAAGCACATCAGCGGTCCACCTCGGCCTCCCAGCTTTTAGAACCACTGAGGGGGCAACTACGCAGACGCGACCCGGGATTTCTGAGGTTTGGGGGAATACAGGATGAAAGGTAAGGGATGCACCTCGCTCCGAAGGGTCGATTGCTAGCCTTAACGACAGGCTAGTGACAGTCAGGATGTCTCCGCTGGGCGACCACCCTCCTCCGGAAGAGTAACTTCACTGGCTAGAAAACTTTGTCTACACTCTAGTCTCTGAAAGTTGAGAGCCGCCCCAGAGGTGATACAGACGCGCAGCACCGCCGCGGGGTGGATCAAAGCTATCAGCTAGCCTACGACCTTCAGAAAGTCTTAGTTTCCACGACAGTCCTAGCTCTCAGGTGTTCTGGCAGCCGCGCCTCCCCGCCCTGGCCCTCCCCCTGGGATCTAGCCCCAGGCCAGCATCCTCCTCTTTCTCCGTTCCGGGCAGCCGCAGCTAAAAGCTGGAGGCTCCAGGCTGAATTCGCTTTCTGTCAGGGTAGGCGAGCCTAGCCGGTACTATGAGCTCCTTTTGGTGCGGGAGTAGATAAAGTTTCCACAGGAGTCTCCGCGTTTCCCGCAGGACGAATCCCGGGGCAGGATCGGATACTGTCATGGAGCCCTCGGGAGAGCAGCTACAAAGATCCGAGGCTTCCAGCTCTACATCTTCCGGAGGCCTGCCATCCGCGGAAGACGAGGTCCTTTGCGTCGAGAGTGGCATCTCTGAGACCCCGATCCCTGACGCTCAGCTCCAGGACAGGCCCCTGTCGCCGCAGAAAGAAGCAGCTCTCCCGGAACAGGAGGAGCTACAGGAATACCGGCGCTCTCGTGTGCGCTCCTTCTCTTTGCCCGCAGACCCCATCCTGCAGGCGGCCAAGTTCCTGCAGCAGAGGCAGCAGGCGGGGCAGCCCAGCTCAGAGGGTGACGAGCCGGCTGGGGACTGTTGTTCCAAGTGTAAGAAGCGCGTGCAGTTCGCCGACTCCCTGGGACTGAGCCTGGCCAGCGTGAAGCACTTCAGCGAGACCGAGGAGCCGCAGGTGCCACCCGCCGTGCTCTCCCGTCTCCACAGCTTCCCGCTGCGCTCTGAGGACCTGCAGCAACTCGGGGGGCTGTTGGCAGTGGCAAAGGTGTCCGCGCCCCTCTTGGTGCCGGGTGCGGGGCTCCGACCCCTCTTTCAGCTCCCGGGGTTGGGCGCTGCGGAGGAGCGTCTGCGACGACAGCGAGTGTGCCTGGAGCGTGTTCAGTGCTCCCAGCCGCCCCGCGCCGAGGTGACCGGCTCGGGCCGGGTGATCAGCTGCCCCGGACCCAGGGCAGTGGTGGTGCGCTACACTTTTACCGAGTGGCGCACTTTTCTGGACGTGCCGGCCGAACTGCACCCGGAGTCACTGGAGTCCCTGCCTCCCGTGAGGTCGGGGGACTCTGGACCAGGGGCTGAGGATGATGAGGAGGAGCCGGGCACCGAGCGTTTCTGCTTCTCGCTGTGCCTGCCCCCGGGTCTGCAGCCCAAAGAAGGGGAGGATGCTGACGCGTGCGGCATCGCTATTCATTTTGCCGTCTGCTACCGCTGTGAGCAGGGCGAATACTGGGACAACAACGAGGGGGCCAACTACACCCTGCGCTATGTGTGCTCCACAGACCCGCTCTGAGCCCGGGAACTTCGGGACTTGGAGAGAGGCTGACCAGCAAGCTAAGTTCCAGCAAGGGCTCCCTGGGGATCCTTAGCTGAGCGACGCGGATTTAGCATTAACAGAGCTTGGAGCGATAGGAGCAAAATGTTAAACGATACACTCTGAGCGCAGATCCACGCATCAGCAAGCACTGGCAGTGTTCTGACCCCCAGTCTTCTCGTCGCTTCCACTGACCTTTCTACTCGCCTCCTAGAATACCCAGCCTGCATCAAAATAAGGAAAGCCCTCGTTTCCCAGGCAAAGGCTGTCTCCAAGAAAAAGGCTTTGGAATCCCGAGCCAGGATCTGTGTGTGACCCTGGGGATTTGTTTCTAACTTGAGACTTACAGCTTGATGAAAACCTGCAGGGAAAGGACAAGGCAGCCCACCTCCACGTGGGAGAGGAAGGCCTTCACACGTGGAATCTTCACAGCCAGGCTTGATTCTCAGAAGGCTAGGCAGATGCGGGTCAGCTTGTCCTTTTAACTGGGCTCTGGAAACCCCTGCCCAGATGCGATGCTATTTTCTTCCGTGATTGGATACAAATGTCTTTTAAGAAAGTAAAGACTGCGTGAACATATGTCCTGTCTGTGCTTCATGTTTTACCTTCCGAGGGTTTGGGCCATGGGCAATCATGGGAATGCTCGGCTGATGACACGGCAGTGTGACAATTATGAAACAACAGTATTAATACATTTTCTCTTGATGTGGATTAGTCCAAATTCCCCACACTGGAAAAAATGATCTTCAAAATGTTTTTTAAAAGGCGTTCTGTCCCTTGCCATAGCAAAATGTTGGACGAATTAAAATGCCACAGGCCTTGGCTGTGAGTTGCAAGAGCCCATCACATCCGTCCCAAACCCTTTTGTGCAGCGGAGCTGTCCCACTCCCTGGGCCATTAGCAGTCAGAGACGCTGGGCTCTTGTAGGCTGCACTCCAAGTGCAGGGTTTGGAGGCTGGAAAGGTGGCTTCCTTCTTTCAGAGGTACAAGGAGTGAAGAATGGCAACACAGTTCACTCAGCAGGCGCTGCTCAGGCACTCTGCATAGCAGAACCCTAGTTTCGGACCACGTGGGGACCGTCTTCTTTCACTCCGGATGGCTCTATATGTCCAGGTCGGAGTGGGAGGGCATTCTGGGTGAAAACTTAGCTTCTTCCTTTCCATTCTTCCTGAGCAACTTATTTTCTTAAAAAAAAAAAAGAAATAAAAAGGAAACCTATTATTATTCAAAGTGTCCTATTCTCTAGTATGTGGCTAGCATAAATAATTAGTTTGGGGTTAGTGGACTAAATTTAAGGGCGGGTGTTTTCATGGTTGTACAGGTCAGCACAATTAACACAGGTCAAACATGGCCCAACGTCTGTCTTCATACAACCTATAAGTGATTTTCATGTGGTTAAAGATTTTTTTAAATTTTAGAGAATTATCATTTTGTGATATGAAAGTTATCTTAAAGTCAGATATAGTGGTCCAGCACTTAGGAGGCTGAAGCAGAATTGTCAAGAGTTTGAAATTATATTAAACAAAAGATAAGGTGGAGTATCGTGTATTATTCCTGCAGTCCCAGGACTTGGAAGCTTAGTTAGAATCATCATAGCTTGTTGGAGGCTAGCAGAATGAGCTCAGGATTAAAAACAAAAGCAACCCAACCACAAACAAGACTGTATGGAATTCAAACTTGATCCTCCACAGATAGTCAACTGAACATTCTGTGGATGCTCTCCTGCGCATACAGCAGAGTTAAGTAGATGCAAAGTGTATAGCTTTTACTCTCTGATCCTTTAGAAAGCACTTCAACCCTGCTTACTATTTTTAAAGCTGTATGCTGAGAATTATAATTCACAAGACAGCTAACCTTTTAGTGGGTTTTGTCATTGAAAATAGTAAGCTTGGGCTGGGTGTGATGTCACACCTCTCCAATCCTAGCACGTGGGGGGCAGGTGAATCTCTGTTATTTCCAGGGAGTCGATGCGGAGAAATCCTGTCTCAAAAACAAAACAATGAAACAAAACCAAAACAAGATAGCAAACATTTTTGTTGTGGTGATGCAGACTTGTTAGGTTTGCAGATTAACAGGTCAGTATCTCTAACACTGAGTAAGGCTCTTAGCCTATAGGAAACACTTTAAAATCTTATATTTATTTACTATGAGTATTGGGGCTTTGCCTATGTGTGCATCACCTATGTGCCTGGTACCCTCTGAAGCCAGAAGAGAGTGTGGGATCCCCTTATACCAGAGTTACAAATGGTTGTGAGCTGCCACGCGGATGCTAGAGATGAACCATGGGTCCTCTGCAAGAACAGCCCGTGCTCTTAACTGCTGAGCCATCTCTCTAACCTCCTTGGAAATATCACATTTTATAAATAGAAATGAAGTTAAAATACATTTTTGTTTGTTTTTTAACATTTTTGGTTTGTTGCTAGAATTTTCGTTTCCTGTTACTTGTCTGGGTGCCATTAACTACTGCAATCTCAGTACTTAGAAGGTGAGGAGAGAGGATTGGGAGTTCAAGGGCATGTAGAAACTTCAAGGCCAGTCTGGAATAGATGAGAAAAAAATAGAACAAGAAAATGCTCATTCCAGGGGAAAGGCAATACCAAGCAAAGTCATTAAGTATCTAAAAGCATGCTGACTGAGGCCTGGGTGTCATTTGGTGGGAGAGCACTAGCCTGATGTGTCCGCTTTTTCTCTCTTTCTGGGGCAGCTCCTCACAATGCATCATACTGTGCCCGCAAACAGGAAGCAGAAGAATATGAATACTCCTCTCAGCTTCCCAGCTCCCTCTTTGCTTGTGTGTGTCTGTGTGTGTGTGGTGCATGCGTATGTGTGCATGTCCCTGTGTTTGCACATGTGTGTAAGCCTGAGGTTGATATTGGATGTCCTCCTCTATTGCTCTCCTCTTTACCCTTTTTTGAACAAGGTCTCTCACTGAACTTGAGGCTAGACTGGATGGCTAGTCAATCCCCAGCATCTTCCCATTTCCACTGGCCAGCGCTGGGGCGCTGGGGTGCTGGGGTGCTGGGGTGACAGGTGCACCCCCTTACACAGCTTTTTCATAGCTCAGGAATCTAAAAGCAGGCCCTCATTTCCTACATGGAGAGCACTTTGCCAAGTGTGCCAACTCCCAGCCTCATTTTCTTCTTTTTGCTTCATCTAGACCCTAGCCCATTTACGGTGCCATCCACACTCATGGTTTGTCCTCCCTCCCCAGCTAAACCTTCTGGGAAACACTCTCATAGCAACATGTTGTCTATGGTGATTCTAAATGTTGTCAGCGTGGATAACGGTGATTAACCAATGCGTCTACATTTGATCCTCAGCACCACAAAACAAAAGGCGAGGCAAAGAGGGAGGAAGAGATGGAGGAGGGGGAGGAGGGGGAGGAGGGAGAAGAGGAAGAAGAAGAGTTGATTTTCCACAAGGAAGAGAATACATCTCAACACAAAATTCCCACAATGAAGCTGGGCCCTGTGTCAGAATATTTATTTGGTAAATATAGTCATTCTGCTTGAAAATGTAATAACTTTTAAAAATCTTATCTAGTGTCAAGTGGCAGTGGCACATGTCTTTAATCCCAGCGCTAAGGAGGCAGAGTCAGATGGATCTCTATGAGTTCCAGGGCAGCCTGGATACAGAACAAATTCTAGGACAGCCGAAGCTACACATAGAAACCTTGTCCCAAAAAACAAAGCAAAAATAAAAATCAACCAACCAAACAAAAACATCTTATCTAGCTCTACTCACTGAAACTATGTAGCAAAGACATTTAAGAAGAAAAAATAAATTTGACTTAGTGATAAATTCCAGTGTGATTTTCACCTCCAGCGTAAGGTTAACTGTAAATAATACTGCCAGTGTTTAAGGAAGGAAGCTTTGAGCTTTCCTGGTCATACTCTCTTCAAACGCCAATGGAGACCATGAAGGAGATCACCAGGGATCGCAAAGCAATAACAGTTTAAATGTTTGGGGGTGAGCAGGCAGAAATGTGGCCCTCTGTCCTACTCAATAAAGCTCTGTGAAATTCACACATACACAAATGACTATATTCTTCCTGTGATTTAATGACCCTGTCCTCCATTAAAGAGAGATTCCAGAAGCTTCCTGGTAGGCAAATGCATCTCTGATTCAGGGAATGTCGGATGGAAACCTTTTTTTTCCATCTAAAGAGTTTCAGAAGCAGTGAGAGGAAGCCTGGAAGTTTACAAAATGTTCCCCTAGGAAACTCCATGTTCATGAAACAAGACAGGCAGCTTATTTGAAGACGTTGGGAGGCCAGGCTCATGGTCAGAGTGGCCACTGCACTTGGGGAGCCCATGGAGCTCTGGGGACCAGGCATGTCTGTCCAGCAGTAGGGAAGGTCACTGTTCAGGAGGCTTCTCAGAGCACCTGGTATGTGACTGTCTTATTACCCACAAACTTCCACTCAAAAGCCTATGAATTTTCTCATAGGAGCACGCACATGTGCATGCTCAGGATTCCACCATGATGTCTCTCCACCTGCTCCACCCTTCTGTCTCTCAGCTATAGGATTTTCATTCATCATTTTATGGGTTTCACAAAATTTAGCTCTTGTCACATGGTCTTTGTCTAGTTTGTAAGACCAAGATCTTTTCATTTTTCCTGACTTACCCATGCACGTCTTTTGAGTACTGTGCCTTGAAACCACTGGCTCACAGACTTGCATCACATCAGGAATGGGAGGAACAGCCAGAGGGTGGATGTGCCATGTTCTGCTTTCTGTGGCTTCACAGAACTGAATCAAATGTGTGTTTCAGGGCATGTTACAGGATGCAGATATGTAGGCTACAGAGATATTGGTAGCCCCAGCCTTTGTCTGGGCCAGCTTCCAAAAATAGAGGTCTGCCAGATTCACAGAGCCAGGGACTTGCAGCTGTTTGAAGCCGTTAGGGATAGAAGTTTGGAACAGGTTTGGACAAGGTGAATTCACTGTAATGAGCTAGCTTTCTCCACCTGCAGAGCAACCTGGGAAAGGTTATCGCCATGAATAGTTACAGCTGGGAGAACACCAGCTTGGTGGAGTTCTACACTTTGCGTTTTGGATGTCTTGTATACTCGATGAACATAAACACATTTAACAGAAACAGGAGCCCCCAGCATCGGCATCACAGAGACATACAAGTTCTTTATATATCCATCTTGAGTCTATACTAGATGCAGATTTAGAATCATCATTTTCTGATGTATAAGTGTGTCTTATATATACACTAAGGAAATGCTTCGTTGGTCCAGGCCAGTGGACGTAGGCTTTGTTTAAAGATGGCTGCCCAAATGGAAAGTCTTTCATCTGGTGGCACTGATTATAAGCAGTAGTTGAAAGATTTTTATTGGCTCATTTTATGTTGAAAGTTCATATACAATGCATATTATATAAAAAAGGACCCTTGGTGGTCATTTTGTATGCATTGACCATACATGTATTTACCTATGGAAACCTTTCTCTTGTATACATTACAGTTTGTTTATTATTTGTGTGTCTCTGTGTGTATACATGTGACATAGTGTGCATATGGGAGTCAGCGCTTTCCTTCCACCATGGAAGTCCCCAGGGATTTGAACCC